GTCTTCTTTATCAGCAATATGTTCCGCTAACGTTTTTCGTGTCCACCACAGCACCTCGTACAATGCCAACAAACACATATTTCGATTCGTTATGTTTATACACGGTTTATTTTTTATCGGATAATCTTGTTCATGTAGATCTGACCAGTTTGTGCTTCCTGATCCCCTTGTACACAACTATTACCAATCACCAGCACATCCTCTGTCACAAAATACGAAAAAAAAAACGGCCCCTCATGCCACTAAGCGACAACCAAGGTTTCATTCCATCAAGCCCAAAACCTGACTACACCCCCAAGTCACTGCGCACCCTGTCTATCAAGCAGCTGAAATCCCTTCCGACAGACACACCCACGCACACAATCGACAACTCCACACTCTCAACCATATGCGTGGCCGGCTGGGTACGCTCCACACGCCAAGCACAATCAGGTACAATATTTGTGTTGGACGATGGCACAGCAATGATAAACGCATCGTTTTGGCCCAACGGAATGTTTGAGGAGGAGCAGGCCGGTTTGATAGAGCCTAACAATTTCTTACGGGTTATTGGTAATGTGAGAGTGTATGATGGTGATATTTCTGTATCGGTAAGCTTTTTGACCAAGATTGATGATTTCAACTACGTAAGCTACCATTTCTTGAATGTTTTGCAGCAGCATTTGCACTGCAGAAGAGAGCTCAAGAGGGAAACAAGAAAGGAGAAAGAGAAAGAAGGGATGATAGGCACGTTGCAGGAGGATGTACTTATGTGCTACAGAAATAACCAAGACGAGAAAGGACTGCATGTAGATCTGGTCGTTAAGATGCTGCAGGGCAAGTATAAAGAGCAAGATGTCAGAGAAATGGTTAACAGTCTTTTGGATGATTGCTATCTGTTCAGTGTAGATGGAATGTGCTATAAAACCGTAGATTGACCGTGCATACGAGCTGGAAAATAAAGTAGAATTAGTGATACGTGCGTGTTTAAGAATTATTTTTAGATAGTAAATTGCATTGAACAATATTATGGTGGATAAAATACACAGATTAAAAATACGGGTACACGGGATGATATCATATTTTTTTACGTACGTGTGCTATATCATGTCTTTTTATGTTATTTTAATTAAAGTATTGATTATGCATTCATCTGTAATATCACCGACTTTCGCGTGATAATGTGATCAATGCTAGGATTAGGTTTAATTCGGTAAAAGACTTTAATGGTGATTTCTTCACCATCACACAATTCTTTTCAACTCACTATTAGCGTCTACTGAGTCATCTAATCGTTGGTTCCGGAGATACGATGCCCTACCACTGTCAGCTATCTCACCAGCTCTTTTCCCTCACACAATTGTTTTACCTACAATGCAATCATTGCAGCGACAGGACTAGGCACAACATGGAGGATTAGCTTGCAGTTAGCTTACTTCTTTGGACTGTTCCACTAAAAATCATTTATTTACTTCCAAAACGCCTAAACAATGCATTTTCAGCTCGCCGATACCGTTCATGGCCGCTGGTCTTTGATTCATGGAGGAAATCAATGCGCCAGCTTGCATAACAATCTAGCATATCTCTCAATATAAGAAAAAGATATGCTGCAGCCGCAAAAATGACCTTAACACAAAAACTGCAACTTGTGCTGCAGTCGCCCCCACAAACAGGGAGTGTGCTTAAAATGCTGTTCTGCAAAAAGTACACAGGATGAGCGCATACTGGGATATCAACTCAATGCAAAAGCATAAAGATTTATGCCTGTATTAGAAGTATCGCAACCGCACTGCGTATTATTGTTTCGTTAACTCGTGTGATAAAAGGATAGATTCA